CACCCCCAACCTGTGCGAGCACGACAGCCGCTGCGTCCAGTCCTGGGACGACTTCATGTGTATCTGCGACCTGACGGGGTACAAGGGGGAGACCTGCCACAAATGTGAGCCTGCGGCCTCATGGGTGGGGGGACAGGACGGGCACCCACGGCTCCTCCCGCTGCCCAGCACCCCCTCGCGCTGACCCCAGCCCCGGTTCCCTCTTCCAGCCCTTTACAAGGAGTCGTGCGATGCTTACCGGGTCAGCGGGAAAACCTCAGGGAACTACACCATCGACCCGGACGGCAGCGGGCCGCTCAAGCCCTTCACGGTGTACTGCGACATCCGAGGTGGGGGCGGCGGGAGGGCGTGGGGGTCCCTCTGCCTGGTGCCCCCAGGGACCGGCCTGTGGACTGGGGCCAGAGCAGGATGGAGGGAGTGGGAGCATCCCAAGGGGCTGGTCCTAACAGCCCCCTGGCCCCTGCAGAGGACCGAGCATGGACTATCATCCGGCACAACCGCCACTACGCCACGCGGGTGACGGGCTCCAGCGTGGACCAGCCCTTCCTGGGGGCCGTAGAGTACTGGAATGCCTCCTGGGATGAGGTCTCAGCGCTGGCGAATGCCTCTGAGTACTGCGAGCAGCGCATCGAGCTCCACTGCTACAGCTCCCGCCTGCTCAACACCCCCTGTGAGCGCCGGGGGGAGCAGGGCCGTGCCGCGGGGCCGTGCCATCGGGCTATGCCACGGGGCCACGTCCTCACCCTCCCCTGTGCCCTCAGCTGGGCTGCCCTTCAGCTTCTGGATGGGCCGACACAACGAGCGGCACTACTACTGGGGGGGCTCACGGCCGGGCATCCAGCGTTGCGCCTGTGGGTTGGACAAGAACTGCGCCGACCCCAAGTACTTCTGCAACTGTGACGCCGACCACGCGCTGTGGTGAGCCGGCGGGGCCCGCGGGACGGGGGCTGCGGGCTGGGGGCACAGACTCTGGGGGGGTGCAGGCAGGGGTCTGGGCTGGGGTGCAGGCTGGTGAAGGGGCAGAAGCCCCTCGTGGCCCCTCCGAACGATGCACCGTTTGCAGGAGGACGGACAAGGGTCTGCTGAGCTTCGTGGACCACCTGCCCGTCACCCAGGTTGTGGTTGGAGACACCAACCGCTCCGGCTCTGAAGCCCAGTTCCTGCTGGGCCCTCTACGGTGCTACGGAGACCGTGAGTGACCGGATCCGCAGAGGGTCCCCTGCTGCAGAGGGCCCATGCCTGTGGGGGTCCCATGCCCATGGAGTGTCCGTGCCCATCCCTCACCGCCCCTTCTGCTCCCGGCAGGCAACACCTGGAACACCGTCTCCTTCAACAGGGGCGCAGCCCTGCTCTTCCCTACCTTCCAGGCTAACCACAGCCTCGACATCTCCTTCTACTTCAAGACCACTGCCCTGTCTGGCGTCTTCCTGGAGAACCCCGGCTCCCGAAACTACATCCGCATCGAGCTCAACAGTACGGGCGG